GTGTGTGTGTACACGCTGTCTTTATCCTTCCTTTAAATTATAAAATGTTCTGGTCTTCAACATAACAAATAAGCCTTCGCAGGACGACTCTGTAAAGAGGTGCTGAAGCTGTAGAAACATAGGGGGTTTTGGAAATAACGAGGGAAATCTTTTAGAATTGCTCTTGTTCACTTAGGGCACACTTTAGCTTCAGGAAACCTACAATGCAAGGAAAATTATAGTAGCAGTTCCTAATTCTAATTTTTTTGTAATCTCATAAGTCTTCACAAGTCTGAATGAAACATGATGGAGAAAGGTACACGTTGGCCTGTAGAAAAGGAGCTTTTACTTCTATAACTATTTTTTTAAAATAATTAGACCAACTAAATAAGTAAAGAGTATCATATCTGCTTTCATTGTACACAGTATGTAATTTTTCTACTAGTTTTTAATCCTTTCTGTTGGTAGGACAAAATAATTCACCAGTATAAAACTCTGCTGGGTCTCGTGAGACCTTCTGGTAGAAGGAGAGGATGGGATGTCAGTAGTCAGGCCTCGCTGATGAGCTGTGAACATACGGTCCTCTGGTTTTGATTACAGAGATGGCTAGCAGTTGGGTTTTTTATGCCTGGTTTTGCTCAGCTGTGAGAAATTGTGTGTTGCTTGTGGCCCAAGTAAGTATATTGGATGCCTCCAGACAGAAAGTTGGGGAATTTTTTCCCCACCTTCAGTGTATATAAGGCAGCGTAGGAGAGTTTGTGATTAAGGCTCAATAAGATAGTGCTTCAGCGAAAGAACGATTTAAGGAAGAATGTAGTTCAAGGTATGCAGTCAACAGATCAGTCTTTATAGGTTTGTGTCTTTCAGGACTAAGCTTTTTGAAGTAAGGAGTTATGCTCCTATGGTTTCAAAAAGAAATTTGATTCCCTCAAATAGATTGACGTTCATAACTCTGTACAGTAAAAGTCACCTCAGGGCAGACTCTAGTCATTGGCAAATGACTGTCATAAGGGTCTTGGGCTTTTTAGATCTTGCAATGGATGCTAACCATGGCCAAAGCCTTGGCTGCTCCTGAAAACTACATTGTTGAAGAGAGTTCATGCTATGATGACTGTAAGGGCTTGCCTGACACCAAAGTGGTATGAATTTAACCTAGAATATTTTGAAAAAACAAGTTAGTTTTTCATCTTGGTCACTTCTTACTCTGGTTTAGTTGAAAAAAACCTGAGTGGCTTAAAACTAAAATAAATGTTGTTGCACACCAACTTTAATACTTTTATTGGAAGGGATGAACTGTTTACGTGAGAGCAAAGTTTTGCTTTCTTCATAGTATGATAACAGGCAAAGTAAATTATGTTGATGTTATGCAAAAATATTTTTATTTTTCTACTTGACAGAATAATAACATTAAAACCCTCTAAATGTATATAATTTTGAGGTAATAATACAGTGGGAGATTGTATAGAGAATAGCTTTGAAATTTCACTAACTAGCTGAAGCCTTGCTGATTTGCTAGTCGCTTTCATACATATTTACATTGCAACTGAGTGTTGTGATTGAAGCTCTGCTACACATATCTGTGCCTTGCAGTTCAGGCTCCGATGGAAGTGAATATACTGCTTGCAGGTTTCGGCAGGGGCTGAATGGACCTTCTGGGGACCTTGAGGTGCTAGTCAGGGGGACCCACCTTTACAGGCTGAGAAAAATGGGCTAGCAGAAACTTAAGTTCAGCATTTACAGGACTTGCAGAGGCCTGCACTTGGAACAGAGTAATATCATGCAATGGCACAGGCCTGGCTGCTGGCTACACAGAAAACAACTCCACAGAAAAAAATGAACCTATGGTCATATGCTAGCTGAGTCCAAGACACTAGGGTGCCCTTCCAAGGAAGAGGGCCAGCCCCTTACTGGGCTGTGCTAACAACAGGTTAGCCAGCAGGCTCAGGAAAGTGATTCTTACCTCTGTTCAGCAGTTGCGAGGCTGCATCTAAGTTATTGTTTTTGACTCCCCAGTAGAAAAAAGATAACATACTAAAGTGAGTTCCCTGGTAGAATTAGCAGGCTGAAGCACATGATGCACAAGGAAAGGCTCGTAGAACTGGGTTTTTGTTGCTCTCTTCAGCTACCTAAAAGGAGGGTACGGAGGAGACAGTGCTAGACTTGTCAGAGGTGCATGGTAGGATGAGAGGCAGCAGATGCAGGCAACAACAGGAGAAATTCTGATTAGGCATTAGGAAAAATTTTCCGTTATGACAATAGCGAAGCCCTAAAACAAGAGCCCAGAGAGACGAGCGTTTACATCCCTGGAGCTATTCCGATGTTGACTGGACAAGGCCCTGGGCTGCCTGACCTAAGTCAATCCTGCTTTGAGCAGGTGTTTGGACCAGATAACCTGTAGAGGTCCCTTATAATTTCAGTGGAGTTTCGTGTGCTAAGCAAGAAAAGATTATTGTTTCAATCTTACAATTATCTTTTTCTTGTCCTCTACTAGTGTCCCACCTGCTGTTCAGCATCATCTGAGATTAGACTTCAACTAGTAGGAAGAGAGAAGTATCTCTGTGGGCTCAGTGGAGGCTTTTCTGTAATACACAATGCCCCATGTGAAACCCTGAAAACATATTATTAGCTTGGATAAGAAACTCCAGCAAGAGGCATTTGGAGAAGGATGTAGGTCTGCAAATGGCAGAATTGACACTCTGATAAGTTTTAAGTATTCAAACTATACCTGTTTAGTTTACATTAGCCTGAAACTCTTATTGTGAATTCATGACGTGAAGGAAAAGGCATAAAATACCCTGATAAAAAAGATATATTGTTTCAATTTGGGAAAGAATGAGCTAAGTTATGATAGCATTAGCAATAGTGACTGCTTCCTGGGTTAATAGTCTTGTTGGTTTTGATAGAGCTATTTAAGGAGAGAAGGTTTAATAATGTCCAAGTTGGAAAATTTGTTCATACAGCTACTTGCTGAATGTGTGCTGATGCTAGAATCAAAGTAGTATAAGTTCTGTTTTAATCTTTGTGTGTGTGCTCATTTTCAGACTGCTGCAAGTGAGGAGAGGACCTCTGGTCATGATTTCCTTATTGGCCATGTTTACAGGGGTGTGGACACATTGGGAAAGGAACTTTTCATGTATTTTGATCAGAAAGCTTTGAGGTAAGAGGGGAGAAAAAGGCTTCCTATGCATTCAGCCTGTATGTATTCGGGGGGTTGTCTTGTTTTTGCTAATGTCACTTTCAGAGATTTGAAAGTTAGTGTTATGGGAGAAACTTCTCAGCAGCCTATCTGCAGTGCTGGAAATACTGCATATAGTCACTTACGCTTTCAGATAATTTACTGCTTTATTCCTAGCCTAAGATTCCATATAAAGGTATCTGAAAAGGACAGTTATTCCTTGAAACACTTTGTTTCAAACAGGAAATTGCATTTTCTAGGGACAAAACTTGGAGAAGTGCATGCAGTTACAGTTACTTAATATCTCCCACTACAAACTGTACTTGCAATTTCTTTTAACTTTCCTTAAGAAATTTAGAGTGAGATTCTGTGCTTTATTTTTAATGATTCAATTCTGATAGTAAACTTGTGTGAAAAAATTGCCAAACTTAAAATATTCCATGTGTATACATTTATGCTGCCTTTCTTTAAACAACATTAATCACTCCTTGGTTTGAACTCTGGCTTGAAATTTGGCAGGTGAATGGTTTGGGTATCATAAATGTAATTCTTAACTTTCTAGTGAAACTGTGTCTCCTAAACAAATGGTAAAATTGCCAAATCATTGTTTGTTCAGGCTTTGCAGAGCTTATTAGGGGTTTGTTGGCATGTTTAGGATTTTGTCAAATGCTTTAACCCCTTGGAGATCTCCTTGTACTAACGACCAAGTTGTATTTGGAATCTAGTTTACTAGTTTGGCCGTGGCCATAGTTCAATATGCTAAAATCTAACCAAATGCACAGTGTAATGGATTATTTAAAAATCTCCTCTCATTCCATATGGCAATTAATATAGAATACAAAAGGTCCCTATATCGAATAGGTAGGCCTTGCAGTTAATACTGTTCTTTGACCCTTCTACTTGCAACATAATTCTAATATTGCTAAATCTTTAAAAGGGAAAACAACATCGCTTCTACTTTCAGTGTAGGCTTCGTCTCCTAGTGACTGATCTTGAACAAATGTGTAAGGTTGTGATTTTTGTTGACTTAAACCCAATAATATCAACAAATAGCTTACAATTCTGTGACAGTATTTTGCCAATGGCATTGCTTTTACAGGAGGGAGATGGAACTGAAAATGCTTGGCTGTGAGTACAACAGTTTATAGTGGTTGCATGCTGGATAAATGAAGGCAGTGATTTATTAGTAAATACCTGGCATGATGTGTAGACTGATCTTTGGTAGCAGGGGCCTGCTAGCTATCAAATATAGTGCTATATGCTTATTTCTCCTAGTGTTAGAGAAATGCAACCAGTCTTACAAGCATATACCAGTTTTTACATGGCAATAATGCAAGTAACTAGTTAGGACTGCGTATGTGTTTAAAGCAACTCGTACTTGTGAAGGATAGGATTATGATCCTAATCAGTTTCTCTTGCTTTGTATTATACTTTCTTAAATAGAAATGGAGAAGAAAAAGCAGTTTTTGAAAAGAAAAAGATAAGTCAGTTACAAAGGACGATAAAAAAAAAAGCATGGCAGGTAACTGATACAGATGTTAGCCTTTTTTAAATGACTGTTGCATGTATTAAAAATTGGTCGCATAAGTAAAGGAATAAATTATACAATAAGAAAACATTGTTTCAACAGACTGAATTACATTACCAGAAGAAAAAAGCTATTATTTAAGGAATGTAGGTAAGCATTTTGCAAAAGTTCTCTTCAAAGAGAAAGAAAATTTGGTCAAGTTCTAATATGAAAAATATAATTCTTTGACCCTGAAAGATCTTATATAATTCTTAAGTTTTCTAGCCAATGCAATACCTTATTGTACTTAATGAAAACAACCTTCATTTATAGTCTGATAATAAGCTTAAAAGGTTAATCAATTCATCAGTTATTGTAGCTCCAGAAGCTGTATTTAAGAGGTCCCTTTAGTCATGTCACTGACTGGAAATACTGTAGAAGTTATATACAGGAAAAGTCTCCTCTACACAGGAGGTAGAAGTTATTTATTATGTGATAATGCAGAGCTTCATTCTCTTGTTTTAGAAATTTATTTTATGCATCTTAAAGATGTTGAGGAGATGTAGAAGAAGGCTTCAGAAAATATAGCTTACAGCAGTCTAAGATTGGCTGCCAGTATTGTTATTTGGACAGGAAATAAGGCGTATGCCTTCACAGGATGTATTAGTTCTCTATTCAAGTTAACTCTCAAATACAGGACTTTCTTGTAATGAGCAGGGTTACTGACTTACAGATTCTGTATCTATACATAGTTTCTCTATGTAAGAAAACCAGCTTTTCTTGTCTGCTAAGATTATCTGTAAAAAGCTGGTAGTCATGCTGAAATACTTAGTCAGACATGTCTTGTGAAAGACTGGGCCATGAAAGGTTAACTCATTTTTACACTCTTGAATTTTCTCAAGTGGGGAATAGCTGCCTGATGGGAGAAGATAACCTGGCCATGAAATTGTTTTATACAGTTTAGCTACTGCTTGCCTGACTTGCAAATGAGAAGCATACTTCTGAAGTGTTGCCATGTTGCAGATAGCAATTAGCAAATGAAGTTCAGTATATTTGAAATCCATGGTGGGCAGTTGAAGCTTTTTTTTAGGAGTATGAATGAAACCTCCTGAAGAAATTAGTACTTCTACTTTTTGATGTCTGTTTAAACAAGGACATTAAAGTCACTGAAGAAAGTAAAGGTTTTTGGAAAATCTGAGGATGGATTTTTTTCAATTTTGCCTTGTAAGTCACTTTAATCAATGAAAGTTGAAAAGAAATTCTCTGATGCTTGTAAGTTGTGTAGGAGAGACTTGCATGGACTGCATGTTTTGCCATGGAAATGATACAGTTATGTGACAGAAGTTGTCCTGGGTTTAGTTTCTGTAGTGTGCTATTAACGTAAATTTGGAGTGATAAATGGTTTAGCAAAGTTTCTGAAAATTGATAATGCACGTATGGTTTTGCGTAACTGGAAATGGACAAAAATATTCTTAGAAAATAGATAATTGTTTACTCCAAATCCTTTAAAGGAAAGACATCCACTGCCCTGACTGGAAATATTACATCTTGGCCCTTAGAACTTGATAATGTGAATTGTCACTGGTTTTTTACATCTCCATATAATAATTTGTGCTGCTACTAATCTTTTATTTTCATGGGGAAAAATGTTTTAAATGTAAGCAGATTTTTACAATATTGTGTATCACTAAATAATTCTAAAACCCATAAAAAAATCATCAACTCTTTATTATTGGATATCATTGAGTATCAGATCATAGATTTAATTAGCATGGCTTTTATATTTGTAATTTAACTGAGAAGATTTCAGGATATCAAAGGTAATGAAACCTATTGGAGTGAAATTTTGTAAATTTCTCAAGGGTCTTGAATGTAAATGTGTAGGGATGACTCAATTATTTTTTCTAGTCATCAAATGACAAGTCACTAAGATAGCTAATAGTTGTGAGTCTTAATGCTCCTTTTAAACAATGTACAGAAGCTTGATAAATGAAACCATCAGCTATTAATGTGAATGCTCTTTCTTTTAAAAGAACTTTCTGGAAGCATTTAGTCCATTACCATTTGGTAGCAAGATGTAAGAGTTTAGTTTGAAAAGAAATTTGACTAGTTAAGCCTGTGCAGTACTATTCATGGCACTTGAGAGTTGAAAATGGCTATTGAAAATAAAAATGGCTGAAATAACTCTATCAAGTGAATTGACTTGTAAGAAAAGAGTTTTGGAAAGACACAGGCTTATAAAAATTAAAAAAAAAAAAAAAGGAAAAAATGCTATGATGAAATTACATAAAGAGTTGACTTTAAGACTATGCTTAATGAAATGTTGTCTTAACCTATCTGGAAACATTTAAAATGCCTGTCCTTCCTGAAATGTAACAAGGAGGGGTTAAAAGGAAATACGCACCTGATGTTGCATTTCTTTGGCCACTTGTGTAGTTTGAACTGTTAAATCTTCTTGTAGCTACAAAATAATCCACCTTTTCTGATACACAGTGTGTAGAAATAAGACACTCTGTCTTATGTTTTTTTAGGACTTGAATGCACCAGGTGAATTTGTAATAAATAAAATGTATGAGACCATAGTCAAACTTGTCCTTTGCTCAAGTATACTAGCTCCCAGTAGAATATATTATAAAATGTAAGACCTCTTAAAGCATTAGTGATCTGTAAAAGGAATGCTTGAAAGAGTCTGTTCAACTCCTTTGCCATCTGTGCATTTTTCAGTTTATTTCTTTTATTAATTTTTAACTGACCTGCAGGTTTTGCCTTGGTTGTGGGCAAAGAAAAAGCAGAAAACAACATATGGCAGATGTTAATTACTTTGTTTATGGTGTTATTGGAACTAGCTTTGATATGATAACTGTGTTGGCAATGTGAACACTGAAATCTTTCCTTTCGTACCAGGTAACTTCTGCCTGATTTAACAGAAAATTGTCTGGTAAATAGTCTCATTTCTTTCAACCTCCCTGAGGACTTAAGAACCTATGTTGAAAGACCAGCGTGTCAAGTGAAAAAAATTCTTAAGTGCGATACACCAGAAAAGTGTGTTACCTGATGATCAGGTTTGACTTGTGTATAATGAATTATGAAGACCACTGAAAAATGGCTGTGTGTTTTGGAGTGTTTCTGACTTGGGGACGGTTCTTCTCTGGGAATTGAGCAGTATGTTTGTTGCCATGTTATTCTTAATGACTAGAATGTATGCATATACATACTGACTTGGTTAGGTAAGAATAGTTCATAACTTCAAAAAAGACTAGTGTAATGCTTGGAAATATTGTTAAAATACCCATAAGAACTCTCTTTCTCTCTGAGGATTCACTTCGGTATGAACGGTTCCATGCACATTAATCCTGATGGAGGCAAAGACAGAAATGGAGCACTACCAGTGTTGGAGATACAACTTACAGAGGATACTGTTTGTTTTTTTGAGGTAACAGTAGAGTACAGGTAAATCAAAAACTAACCAACTTAAACACAGCTTGGTTTATTTCTTTTTATAACATTCTTTTAAAAACATAGTGAAAAAATTACATACAAATTGTTAAGTGTTTGGATGAGGTCAAAGCATTCATAGACACAAACCAAATTTTTTTTAAACATATCATATTTATTGGTATGGTAATTTACTTGTTACTTATGTATCAGAGTTTACATACAGTTAAAATTGTTCTATGCCATAACCTCATTAGATAGTGTCAAGACTGGGAATGAAAGTTGGATTTAATTTTGTCCTGAATGCTGAACCCCATTGCTCCTTTAACTTCCATGCAAGTCTCACTTCCTTAAAAAGAATAAGGACCTGTGATGATTACTGGTTTCAAATTATGCTCCCAAGGTTGTGGTTTTATTTTTGTTTTCTTTTTGGAAGCAAATTGGTATAATTGTTCTAATTGACATTAAGTGGATGGTTTTGTCCATCAGCATTGTACTTCTCACTGCTAATAAAAAATAACACAACAAGCTTGATTTTAAAGCATTTGAGACTCTTGGGTAAAAAGGAGCATGTAAATTCAAGTAACATATGCATATTTAATGTCACAAAACATAAAAGCTTATGTAAGCCTGAGACTTTGTACTGTATTATTTTCAAATAATTTGTTCTTCAATTTACGATTTTGCTTAACCTAATCAAGGTTTAAGGAAATGATCTTTTATTGTCATGTTGTAACTACTGATCATATAACCATACTGTTAGTTATGCTTGATGGTCCAGACACATGGTCTTTCCATGTTATACGTAGTTTTAAAGCAAGGATTGACAATTATTTTTCAAACTAATATGAACAAAATGAGGATGAATTCTTGTATGTGGGATCAGGTGCATGTATCAGTGACCTGTTTTTGAGAGGGGTGGTTAATGTAATTTCTATGTCCCTTCCTGTCACCGGTATTTTCATGGTTTCTCTTATCTGCATATAATGTTCTATTATACTTTCATGTGTTATTTTTAAAACAATACTGCTATATTAGCATATAATTACAATAAAAATAAATTTTAATGTATTTTTCTCTTCCAGAAATGCAGCTGAGAGTGAGCGGAAGGTGAGAATAATGGAAAGCTTGGATGTCTGTTCTCCAAAGTTTAGCTTTTCAAGAGCAGAAAGTGAGATTAAGCAACAGAAAATCCGCATGTTGTGTGATGTGTTACTGGATCAAGCAGTATTACCTGGAGTGGGAAATATTATAAAAAATGAAGCGCTATTTGACAGTGGTCTCCATCCAGCTGTTAAGGTTGGTGAAATGTCTCAAGATTGTTTTTAATGACACTAAAGTATTAGGAATGTAAATAAATATTTATACAATGTTTTGTCATCATCTTACCTTTGTTTTATCATCTGACATTTCTTAAATTATTCTAAGATGCTAAATTAATGTTTTATCATTGTAACTGGAGATATTTGTCATAGCATTCCTTGGAACCTGTTGCTGCCTGCCTCTGAGTGGACATATTTTGTGGGGCTAAGCCTCCTGTCTTACAACTTGAAACCTCTCCTTAATAGGGAATTCATTTAACTTCCAAATCCTGACTTTGATATCTTGTTGTGTCACCATTAAATTGTCAACCTATAAATAAAGGAAAATGAACAGTGCTCAGGTTTTCTTTGTTCAATTACTACCCAAAATAGTTTATGTGGTAGAGTTGATTATTTTTGCAGCTGCTTCTTCCACTTCCTGTCCTGCTAGCTGGCATCATTTGCTTTTCTACCATGGTTTGCCATACTTTTTTCTTGTTGACATCTTCAAGCATGCATCTCCAAACTGATTGAAAAGAACTCTGGTGTTTGCAAAACAGAATGAAATTACATAGAATGTAAAGGAAAGCTGGTGAAGATAGTAACTGAAAGGTTTTTTAAATGTAATATTTCTGAAAGTTCTTCATAGGATCAGTCAGGACTTTAAATGTATCTGCAATGTGGGCTGGCAGAGGAAATTAAAATGTGACTTAAAATTCTGAGTTTTTAACAAAATTGTATTTGGATGATACGTCTCTCTAATTGTGATGCCTTTGGCTCAAGTATTCTTCCTAAAGATCTCTCACAGGAAAGGGCCTCTGATGATAGATAGGTCGTATCATAATCCATGAGGAAATTAAGAGGGAACTAAGAGTTGTTAACTCCACATGATTCCTGTGATCAGGAACTCTTCGGTCAATATAGAGGAAGACAAATGGAATTTTTACCTAATGTTTGGTAAGAATGAGGCAAAGTACGTTGTTTGGTATTCACATAGTGAGTTTGTGTGGTATAGAATATGAAGATGTACTGTTTTACTGAGATGATACATATAATGTGAAATCAGAGAATTATCATGACAGAAAGCAGTCCAATTCCACTACAGTTGAGGGTGGTCAAAGTGCCCCTGCATTATAGGTCTTTCTGCTGTTGTCCATTAGTATTGTAATATTCTAAAAATCATTCTTCTCTTACAGGTTTGCCAACTGACAGATGAGCACATATGTCACTTGGTGAAAATGACACGTGATTTTACCCTGCTTTTTTATAAGGTATTGGCGCATGTTTCTAAGAAACCTCCAAAACTGGACTCCAGCATATTAGCTGTATGTAATCATCTAGTGAAAACAGTAAAAAAGGTCCAACAGGACAAGCATTTCCATAAATAGGAATGTTAGTTTGTGTGCTCTTAATTAATTGTGAGTTGTAAATTGGTGGAATGGTGGGGGAGTCTAGACTGTAAGAATGTGCACAACCAGGCCCAGTTGCAGCAGAAGAGTTTGACAGATGCTGCCTGAGGGCCGGTTCAGTTTTGCTGTGCATCCGCTGTAATGTCACTCTGAACACATCAGAATTAATGTAGGTTAAGCACACACTTACATGTAAGATAACATTAAGGTGACTCTTCAAACTGATAACTAGAGATTGCCCCAGGGAAGTATGAAGTTAATTCGTGTGGCTTCCTTTATGAAACTTGAAATAGCAAGTATATTTATTTGACTAAATAGATTCTAACAACTTTTTTTCCTAACTGAAACAATGTTTTTGGTTGCTAAAGTGAAATCAATTCCAGCTTCTCCCTACTGCCTCAACTTCAGTAGGATTTCACTTCTTCCCCTCTGCAATTCCTGGTTGCTCTTTAACTTTCCAGAATAGAAAAAGAGACAATTTGACCAAATTCTTGGATGTTTTTCTTTTAAGCTGCATGCAGAGAAATGAACAGCAGCAGTGAAATTCTTTTCTCTTGGTACTCGTGAAAGGCAAGGAGCTAGTGCGGCTAAAATTTTTTTTGGTAGGCTAGGAGGAGGGCACCTAATTTTCCTAATAGTGTCTTTCAATCATAAAGGCTAACAATGTAACTTGTTTAATAGTCTGCTTCAATAATAGTCTCCTTTCCCACTGAAGAGTAGTTTAGTCTGTTGGCTAGGGAATTTTTTTCATTCTCCAAACTTCATAGTGAAGTCTACCAGTAAAGAGATAGCATCTGGTTCTGCAACAACTATAATACTAGGAGATTTAAATGTGTCATGGGCTTTTAGACTGACACTAAACGAACAAGTTAAACTTTCTGTAGCACAGTTTAGCTGTCTTCAAAACTTTTGTAATCTACACTTAGCAAGTATTCACCAGTCAAGTGCTTTTAAAGGAGAGCTAGCCCTCTTCTGAAGTCTCTTTAAGATAACATAACGAAAATTGGTTAATGCGAGGGGTAGTGCTTGATCATTTTTATAGACTGTTATAGAATGTTTGTAGTAATCATACTATATCATTTGTAGTAACACCTTACAGATGCAAAGATGAGGAATCTTGTTTATGTAGAAAAAACTTGTTGCTTTTGTTTGGTTTTTAAATAACTGTATGGGAGGAAACTACTACTACTAAGTTAACTGCAAACCTTGAGGAGAAATCTTGAGGAGGAAGCAAAGTGCTTGTGAATATTCATGCAAATGTATATTAGTAATTCCTTCTGATTGAATTACTAGATTGTACCGGCAAAAGCATTCTCATTTGGTGAGGCTGACGAGTAAGAGCACAGCAGAAGCAACTATGTTGTGCTCAGACACCTGTATTTTGGGAGAACTCCAAGGGTCTTCATGCATTATGGAGTTAAAGCTATTGAACCCTGCCAGAGCTGGGCTGATATTTCTGGGCCAGCTGTGGTATCGTTTGAACTCTGTCCAAGGAACTGCGATTATAGCGCAGAAACTCGTTTGGCTCTGTAGAGTTGGCTGCATCTCTACTGGGCTTTTCTCATTTGAGTTTTTGTTGGTTTGTTTTTCTGCCAGTTTTAGCTGGGGTATGTCTATGCTGATCCCATGTGAATTGCCTCATGAAATGTGCCTGCTTGTCAGCCCTCTGGAGGCTCTTTAGGTCTCTGTGCCCTTTGGGCTTGTACTGTGCTTAATTTAATATGACTTTCTGCCAGGATCTGTGGAGCTTGCCATAGTGCCAAGTGGCTTTTCATAAGCCAATTTGTCTGGCATGGCCAGTGCTAAGGTGAAGCTGAGCAACTTTAGTGGGTGCTACCTGACTCCTACAGAACCTCTGGAATGTTTCTGCATTGCTTACTACTTCAGGTTTTGGGAAGGTTCATTAACCCAGATTGCAGCGTCAGGTCTGAGCTGGCCCTGCGGTGTGCTTTTGGTCCTTTTTGGGATGAGGGAAGGTGGTGTTGGTTTTGTGGTTTGGTATATTTTTGTTTTCTATGGTGCATTGACTGGAGCTTATCTACTCTTCAAGAACACTTCTGCAGGTGCCAAGTCAAAGATGACTGGTGCTGAATCAGAGCTGGCTGGTCCAGCTGAACTCAGGGCGTCCCTAGCATATATTTGCTTGCACCATGCTATTATGTTTTTTTGTCTTCTGCCTTTTATTCCATTATGTGGAGAATTCCAGACACTGTTATACCTGATCTAAAGTCAACTATTTTCATAAAAGAATATGAAATACAGATGATAGCTGTCATGAGTGCGCCTTAAATATCTTTACGTAGTCATTCAGCTGTCAGTTTATGTAGGGATTTTTATTTTAGCTTTGGCTGATCTGTAGAAGGCCTGACATAAAATTTATACTGGGTCTCTAACTTGGGTTTTAAACTTGTTTTGTTTTAGTGCTGCAAAACTGGGTCTCCGCTCTACAAACACTGCAAAGTATACAAGCGCCCAGCCTGTGGTCAGTGCAATGGGAAGATCACTGTGTGTCGTTTGGGAGAGAATAACAGGATGACTTACTTCTGCTCTCAGTGTCAAAAGGTGGATCCACAGCTTGTCAATGTTAGGTATGATGGTAACTTTGTAACACTGAAGCATCAAAGTGCTTAAGAACCTCAAAGTGCTGTTACAGTAAGAGGACATAGATTCTCAAATAGAATGGTTCCTTGTGCATTTTTTTATCTAAATTCACTTGACTTTGCAAAAGAAAAATGTTTTGGCCGTTGGTATTTAAAATTGGTTAAAAGCTTTGATCCTTTGATGCTATTTCTTTCAAAAGCCCTGTCTGTTATGAAATAGCTATTACTCTAATAAATGTAGGACTTATACAACAATTCAGAGTACTCAGAAATATTCACTGCTTCTGCAAAAATTGCCCCTTGTTCTTGGTGTTATCAATATAATAGGCTTGGATGTTTACACACAGCTTGAGTTGAATGGCATAAAGAAGGTAGAAATTTGTGTGTCTATTTCTTTTCATAGGATAGCCCCTTCAGTCCTAGAATATCTAGATAGCTGTGTATCTGCAATTTTGTTCTGGCTGTAGAGTTACATTGAGGAAAACTAAAACTTCAGTAAATTCAGAGTGCAGCAAATATTGTAGGGCTTAGGATTTTTTTTCTTCCTCATCAGATTTGGAAAGCTTTTACTGCAGGTGTGCCACAGAGACACTTTCAGTTCCACATAAACTGTGCTACCAGCAGCTTTCCTCCTTTTATTTTAGAAAAGCACAAAATGCATTTGATATCACAAAGGGTCAAAAGGTAAAAGCTCCAAAAGCACTTTTTTCAGACTCTTACATACCTAAGTTATTCTTGAAAATTTTCATTTGAGGTTTCAGAATCTTGCCTTTTTATAAAGGCTCTGTCAATATAATAAAAGATACTGCTTTACTTTGCAAACTTGGCCTTCATTAGTGTGTGTATATATATATTTTTTATAAGATGTACAGAACACACAAATCCCTCTCCCACCTCCAACCTTCTTTCAAGATTCAGATGGCTGAAGGGATTTTGGTTAAAGCTTAGAAATTGCCTTTGAGTACAGATCAAATATAGAAAATTCCAGCATGGAAGATAAATATTTCACATGCTGATAACCCCAATCTGCTCTATTTTCAGAAAGTAATAATGAGAAATGTTTTGCAGAAGGGTAGGAAGACAGCAGTGTTCCATTGAGTCAGATAACTAGAAAATGATGCAAGAAAAAAAGAAAAATCTCTTTCTCTGTTCTAGAACAAGTAGTAAGGTTTTTTGTTGTTGGGATATTTTTTAAACAAATAATTAAACAGCACTATATTTCAGTGAAAAACATGCTAATGGTAGCTATAAAATAAAAAGGTCGTTTCTTGTGCTATCCTCATCCTGATGGTTAGGTCTCTGTTCTACTGCTCTGTTTTCTGTTATGCAGTAACTGTTATCTAATAAAAGTCTGTGTAGCTCCAGTGGTTTATCTGCCATTCCAAGCTTTTCATGTTTGAAGGCTGAAAGGAGCCTGTGTGATCGGACAGACTTGCTGCAGATCATAAACTGTAGAATTTAACCCAGTGGTTTTTGGATCAAGTCAAGTAGCATATAATTTTGCTCAACTGAAAAAATGAAGAAATTATCCATTATAAACTTACATCATAAAAATCAAATGTACCTTGGATCTTAAAAATACACTTTTCTGCCCATATTTCATGTTCCAAAATGAAAGGGGGGGGGAGGGGGAGGAAGAGAACAACATGACAGAAGGACCAGGGGGATGGTATGGAATTAAACTCCAAAACCTGATATGCTGAATATATTCAGTCTGGTAATGCATCTTTGATGGCTGAGTATAACAACTGATGTAATAATGTGAAAACACCCATTTTCTAACACTTCTAGTTTGGCTGTTTTGTTATGTAGCCCTAGTATTTTGGTGAACGTTACTGTAATGTCTGTTCTACCTCTTGACAGCACAGGATTTCTGGTATGTCAGCAGTTCTCATTATCCTTATGTTTCCTGTTTTGGAAGAGATGTGGTAGGTAGTGGATATCCCTACCATTATCTTAGAAATCTAGCCTGTTTAAAGAGAATGATGATTACAGAATAAGTGATAGGTCTAAGGAGTGTCACAATGGTTCCCAAGTACAGCATTTGCATTAGTAATTGAAGTGCTTAAATTCTTGGGATTAAAAAAAGTCTCCAAAAAGTGCCTAATTCCACAAAAACTATGGAGAAAAATGCTTGACAACTTATCAACCATAGTACTTAAAGATTTACGTACATATTTTACTGAACAGATGAGTTCAAATTACATTTAACATGCTAACAATATTTGGATATGATAACAAAATTAGTCCTTGGTAACATGTAGTGACTGTAAAATAGTAACTGATTCTAAATCAGTGTGGAGGTGGTATAATTTACAGGAAAATAAATACAACTAAACCGATAGAGGTGTCTGGAGTACAGCTTTGGCTCACTAGTCACAGCTAGGACACTCCTGAACTCTTTCTGATGAGGAGAAAAAAAAAAACGAAGAGGGGAAAAAAAAAAAAAGGAAAAAAAGAAAATCCTTAATTCTGAACAGGCTCTTAAGTGTTAAAAGGCTTTCCAGCAAATAGTGACACACAAAGACTTTATAATTTTTAAGGTTTTCAGTTCTGTTGGCTGTTATAACAAAGTGATATGGGTGCCATTTAAATGAGAGTAAAAAATTTTGTTTGCTAGATTGTGTGACTTTCTGTAGTTCAACTTCTGAACAGCTCTTCATCCAGTAATGCATTTCTTAGCGTTTTGTCCAAAGAATGGAGAAAAGTACTGAAACAGTCTCCTGTTCTCGACAAGTTTTTTGCTTCAGGTACTTGAAAATAGTAGGGAATTTGAGTAAGGCTGGGCCATTGTGCTGGAGAGTACATCAGTTAATTAGTAAATTTCTGTCCATTTTCATTTTAAATATTTTTATTTGTATTACTTCTACAGCATCTGGAAAGATTTACCCTTGAAGTAAAGAAAAAAAGAAAAATAAATCAAACTCTGACCATGACATGCTGTCCAAGCCATGATAGGCAGGCATAACACTCTGTACTGTTTGTTCTCTAGCCCTGTGCCTCCTTGCATATCATGGTGTAAGGCAATTTGTAGAAGAAACGTCACAAAACACTAACATCATTCTTTTGTTTCACAGCAAACTGCCAACTAGAAATAGCCTAATTGGCTGGGCATATGGCAGGGGGTCATGTTCTAATGAACATGTAGCTCAGAAATCTGAAGAGGAGTGGACGTGTATGCGCTGCACCCTAATAAACAAGCCTTCTGCTGAAATTTGTGATGCCTGTTTGACTTCAAGGCCTGAAGGTATTGAAAGGTTGTCTGGAACCTACAGTGGGAAGTGGGGGGAGGATTGTGGTTTTGATGCAGTTTTTAGAACTATAGAACTGTAGAAGTGTCTCATTATGAATCATATTTGTAAAACTTTAGCTAACTTAAAGTCAGATTTTGGGGAAATCTTACACAGACAATCATGGAAACTGTCTTGTCTTAAACCCTAAAACTGTCCTGTTTGCTAGCTTTGTGTGCAGGTGGGAATCTATTGACAAGCATCTGCAGTGACCCTTTGTTTTTATTGGGGCAAAGAGTGAGACAAAATGCTATTATTTCAACACTGCTTTTCATTAGAAGCTTGCAGCATATGTCTGATAGAGAAATCACCAGGGGGCAGAAAAGTAATTATCATTCTTTCATGTGAACAAAAGCAGTATATTTTGGTAGCCTTTTGAAAAGGTTGTTGGCTTTCTCAAGGGCTAGGTTTTTTCCTCCAAGTTCAGAGTAAGGATAATTCTGGATTTCTTACCTAAATTTGTTGTTTGTCTCTTGATGGGGTTTTTAATGCTGCTATCTAGATCTGGTGGGCAGAAGCAGCTGTGAATGAGACCTAGAAAGGGACAGGAAGATGGAATGAGTAACATGCTAGCTTGTCTCCAGATTTCTGCATAGAAATTTAGATACTAAGAAGGAATCAGTGAGGCAATGGACAGACTTCCCACTGACACCTGTTTTCGATGTGAAGAGGAGCTTTGTATTCTTTTTCACTTTCTGTAGAAAAAGTGAGTAAATTGCTCTGGGGAGGGATTTACAGCAAGTTCTTTGGATCAAGATTGTTGCTCTGAAACGTTTTGAATTGCTACATATATTCCAAGAAACAAAGTCTAGCAGTGTGCATGTGTGTGGCTTTTTAGGGATAAAGCTATAACAATTTCTATACCAATCCCATCTTGAAACTTTTCTACCTCAAAAACTAATACTCCACTTATTTCATATGGTGTAGTGAATTATTCAATGAAGTGGCTGAAATCTGCATACTACAAGTTACTTATTTTTCTAGCTCTAGTGTTGCAAAACTGAAGGATATTTGTAAACAGTTGTCCTGGTT